CAGCAGGACAAAGGCTGAATGATTGGTCCCCTGAGAGTTTCCTCCACTCCTCCCTTTCCCATCTCCCTGCTTGCATTAAACCGCTGCATTATTCACAAGGGAGGCTGTGCATAATGACATCATTACCTCACGTTTCTTTTTTCCTCTTCCTCTCTGTAGCTGTATTTCATGCCTGCCTTTACCACCACAGTCTCCTCATTCTGGCCAACAGCTAATGATAAATTATATGTTTAAACAAATTAATGGACTGCATGTTAATCTCTGCACGTTGAATATGTTGCAGGGCCGTATATACAGGATTTAGGACCTGTGATTCCTTTCTGTAAATTTACAGAACCCTTTATAACTGGAGTTAAAAAAGAAAAGGTCCATGAATAAACATGAGCATATGCTTGTTTTCAGGTCCATCCAGAAGCTGGAGGAGCTGAATGTGGGCATGGAGAATTTAGGGGAGGAGGTGAAGTCTTTGGCCGAGCAGTGTAACGGGAACGGGAACATGCTGCCCTCCGAGGACAACAACAACCTCCCATCTGTGACCCAGGAGGACAGACAGGCCGCAGGGGGAGGGGTGGTGAGCAGCACCCCGCAGCGTGCAGTGGGGGGACGCACAGTTGAACCCCCGGATGAGTCCCCTGTTGTCCCTAAGAGGTAGCTGTGTGACTGTCTAATATCCATGGACTCCTGTCATGTCACAGATCTTGGGTTTATGTAGTAACACTGTTGGTGTTTTTTTGTCAGTGGCCAGAAACAACAAGACGACTCTCCCGGCTCCAACACCCGAAATAAAGAGGTAGGGATGCAAAGATTCCTCCGGCTTTTCCAGAAAAATCTTTGGCTTTTTAAAGATTAAAAAAATATTTACTTTTAAAGTTCTGGGTATCCTAACTCAATCTTTTTCAGAGTGAGAAGCCCAAAGGTCTGTTTGTTCCCATTCACACTCTTGAAGACACTCAGGCCATTCGTGCTGTAGCCTTCCATCCATCTGGATCAATGTACGCTGTGGGATCCAACTCCAAAACTCTACGTGTGTGCGCCTATCCAGAGAAAATCAGCCCCAGGTGATCATGTTAAAGGACTGTCAGTCACTGTACAGCTGTCAATGAGTTATTCTAATTGACAGCTGTATAATTACAGGTCTTAGTTAACCTAAGTAAGCTGTTCATCTGCAGCAGCACATCACAATGTTTTCTTTCTGTGATTAATCAGTTGTTACGTTTCTTCTGTTCTTCCTGTTTACTCCTCGTCTCCTCCCGTCCTCAGTGATTCCAGTACCACAAAGCAGCCAGTTGTTCGGTTCAAGAGGAACAAACACCACAAAGGCTCCATCTACTGTGTGGCCTGGAGTCAATGTGGTCAGCTGCTGGCCACGGGCTCCAATGACAAATATGTGAAGGTTCTGCCTTTCAATGCAGAGACATGTAATGCCACAGGTGAGTGGACATTAGTGGACAATTATTGTGGTCTCTGTTGCCTTCAGATTTGTCAGAGTTTTGTTTGTTTGTGTCCCCTGTGTCCCAGGTCCAGACCTGGAGTTCAGCATGCACGACGGCACCATCAGAGACCTGGCATTCATGGAGGGTCCGGAGAGCGGAGGAGCCATCCTGATCAGTGCTGGTGCAGGAGACTGTAACATCTACACCACAGACTGTCAGCGGGGACAGGGTCTGCACGCCCTCAGTGGACACACGGGTAAACTTTAGTTTCTCTACCTGTCCCCCTGAGCTCAGGGATTGAATCAGTACCAGAGAGACAACTTGTTTTTTTTCTTGTTGTCCAGGTCACATATTGTCTCTGTACACGTGGGGAGGCTGTATGATCGCTTCAGGATCTCAGGATAAAACAGTGCGTTTCTGGGACCTCAGGGTGCCCAGCTGTGTCCGGGTGGTGGGGACAGCTTTCCACGGCTCAGGTTTGTCTAAGATTTTCTGTCTGGGTTTCCTTTAACTCTACGTATTCCAACTTTATTCCCAAATTTTATCCACCTCACAGGAAGTCCTGTTGCCTCAGTGGCAGTGGATCCTAGTAGTCGTCTCCTCGCCACAGGACAGGAAGACAGCGCTTGTATGCTGTACGACATAAGAGGAGGACGGATCGTCCAGGTGTACCGACCGCACAGCAGCGATATCCGATCTGTGAGGTTTTCACCCGGAGCTCACTATCTGCTCACCGGTTCCTACGACACAAAAGTCATGGTCACCAACCTCCAAGGTAGGACTGATCTACAGTCAACGGGCCTTTAGTCTCAGTTTACCTCTTATTTGACTACAACAGGGATTCCTAAGCTTTTTTTGGCCACGCCCCCTTCTGTATATCAACACACCCCCAATTCCCCACACCTTCACAACAAGCTTTCTTATAAAGGCAGCATGTTCAATCATGACCCGAACACACATGTGCATGTGTTTAATAATGAAACTGTCAGCTTTAGAGTATACATTTTAAGAAATATTTACACGTCTTTATTGTGTGGAAAAATCCCACTTTAAAAAAAAAAAAAAACACTCATCAAACCGTCACCACTCAAGTCACACAAGTGTCACTATTGGAGTTGGTGATTTTCTGTCTGTGTCTGTAGGTGATTTGACTAAACCGCTGCCTCTGACTGTGGTGGGAGAACACGGAGACAAGGTCATCCAGTGCCGCTGGCACACGGACGAGCTGTCCTTCCTGTCGTCTTCTGCTGACCGCACTGTCACACTCTGGACACACAACCCATCATAAGCCTCATAGACACAAGCAGTTTGTATAATCTAAAAAGACATCAGTCCTCCTTAACCAACCTGCTCCGCCTGATCTTAGTGTCATCCTTTAACATGTTCACACTTTCTCCTTCTGTCTATAGGAAACAGAAACATGAAAAGCACATGTTACATGTTGTATTATGATTTCACACCGCTGGCACTGTTTTCATGCTGATGCTTTTTTCATTTTTTATAGATTTAAACATTGTAATTCTCTTTAACTGTAATAGACAAGGTTACTTGAACTAGATTATTTAATTTTCCTCTAAACGTTTGTAGGAAAAAATTGAGGGTGTATATGAATAGGACAAAATTTTAATACAATTAGTGCAGCTCACTATTTCAGATATTTATTTTATAGGTTACTTTGCTGCACACGGCGTTGTCACTGGTGTTATTACAAGAACTTTTAGTTATTAACACCATTTAAAAAATAGCAAATCCTACCCAGCGTATCTTTTTTCAAATGAATGTTAAGATTGAACTAAACAAAGTCCTTTTGTTGATGGTGCCTTTTTTAAGTTCCCTTGTTTTTTTAACCTTTAAATATTCCACTTCTTCTCATGCATATCATTTCATTGCAGCTAGCATCTCCCGTTGCTATATTGTATTATAAGAATAAACATAGGAGTCGACCATATGATGTAAAACACAGTGAGCTCTTCTCATTGTGAGGCTAAATTCGTGGAAACTTAACCTGAGTTTGTGGTTGCTTCTCTTTAGGACACGCTGATGTCCAGTATTAGTGTTAACTGCAATATTGTTTCAGTGTAAATAAGCTTCAAATTTTAAATGCCTGCTAACCGTGTCTCTTACAGCCTGCTTACAGTGGAAAATCATGTACATGATAAAGGGACGCTAAAGTGCAACTTATTGTTTAATTCCTTGCTTTGTCTACTGCAGTAACAGAACAATAGAGGTCAGAGTTGGACCAATGATATTCTCTACTGCACACTGAAATTTCAAATGGAAGTGCGGGTTGAAAACAATACTTGATCTGAACCAGTATTGACAGGCACTTTTATTTCTATTATTATTATTCAAGCACTTTTATTTCTAACATTGACTTAACTATAGGTTTAATATTTAAGTTTTTTTATTCTCTCTGTATAGAATATATTGTTTTAACAAATGAAGCCAAACTAATGTGCACACAGATGTATTTATTTCAGTCTCGTTCGTTGTATGTACAGTCATGTTGTAAAATGCCTGCTAATATTAAGCCTTTTTAGTTTTTGTTTTTAAAACTGACCCTGAATAAATTGAAGCTAACAGTCAAACTACTGGTTCCTTCAATAAAGTGTATTTTACACAACTTTGTTCAGTTGCTGAGTTGTTATAGCAAGTTTATAGTTGGCATACAATTGAGCTTGACTTTTGTTTGCTTCTTGACTTATTACTTTAATTATTATATTATATTTTATTATTTTATAATTATTTCAATTATATACATTATTGTTGTAGTTTTATTCACTGTAGTTTTAAAAAAATGCTAATGGTTTAAGGTTCTTCTTAATCAGGTGTTGTTCAATTTTTTGAGAAAAAGTCTCACTTGTTAAATTATTTGGAAGGAACAGGAAAACCGGGCACACAAAGCATTCATAATATAGCATGTTGCCAGTTTCATCAAAGACAGTATTGAGTTCTCTTTCAAACCATTTACACCGACACAAACTTTATACACTTGACTGCCAGTACTTCCGTACATAGACCTGCGCTGTGCAATTCTCGCGAGAAGCAGCAATGATTTCAAACATGGCGGCGTTCAAACGCTGCATGTGAGCAAACAGCGATATCATGAAGTAAGTCCATTTAAAAAATGGATTTCCTTTTGTAAATAACTGACAGAAACACATGACAAGCAAACAGTAGCTGAAGGTCAATTTGCAGTTCAAATAAATGAGTGCTCGGTAGAGTTTCACATATAAAACACCTCCTCAAACTTCAGAACACAACACAGGACACAAACAACTCGTGAAACACATCAACCATCATTCGATCAACAGTTGGACTGGACTTTACAAGGTAATATATTTGACCAAACAACAAAGCCAGGAGCCATCTACAACGCTCACCTTCCAACTCAAACACAGGAAACTCTAAACCCAAAGCACCACCCGATTGGACCAAAAGCTGAACTACGGGTTACTGTAAGGGACAAACGAGAGCTCTCGCTTAATTCTAAAAAGCAAACGCAGAACAACAGTGACACATTGTGGTCTATTTAGGCAACTACTTTACATAAAGATTTTATATAAACCATGTCCAAACATGTAATATTTTTTTCTGCTGCCATAAAGAAATAAAACAGCCCTAAAAGTAAACGATTTATAATTTATATATATATATATATATATATATAAAATTATATTTGTGACTTATAATTGCCTGGTAATAGAGAAAATCGCAGTTTTCAGCCATTTTACCTTACCCTACCAAGAGATAACCTGTTTTTTGACAAAAACAACCAACAAATCCATATAGGAATGAGGTTTATTTATCTGTCCTCACTCAAATGTACAAAAGACAGTAGTAGCTGTACACGGGTTAAATTCATTGTTTTATCAAACAGCTTATAATAATTCTTGTTATTTTCTGTGTGAGGTCTTACACAGTTTCATCAAAAAAGTTACATTCAAATAAAATACACAGTAAAACGTTAAGTGCTGAGTCTTTAGTGATATATCTACATGAAACCACATTTCCTTATAGTATTAGGACGGCAGTCATAAACAGCACAACAGAACACAAACATAATGGTAGCTGTGTTTTGAGAAATACAAATAATAATGAAATATGCCAGTGCACAAAAACACACAAAAAAGGAAAAAAGCATTTGTCCCTGATTTATCTGAAAGTTGTTAGTGTCACGGAAATACTGCGAATGTCCTCGTTTTTGTTATCTCACAAATTGTACACTCACCACGTCCAATGCTGCTCTTTTTTTGTTTTTTATTGCAGTCCACAGCATTGCGAGAAACACTGGAGATGGAAAATGTCCATCACACTGTTGTCATCTCAGTTAGGGGTTGGTGTTGGCCCTGACCTGGCGCTGGCTGCAGAGGGCAGTGTGACTCGCTGCTCGTCCATTCGTTTGGCTTGTGAGCGCATGATGAGGCTGAAGAAGTCCTCGTCCGGTACAGTCGGTCCTCGGGCTGGAGGAGGGGGAGGGGCACAGCGCTGGTCATCGAGACGGGAGCCCTGGAAGATTAAAATATAACTTTGTATTTGTATATAGCTGGTGGAGAAGAAAAAAAGAATATGCTGCACCTTAAAATTAATGATTGTACATGCTTTAATATCACTTGTTTTGTTGTTTTTTTTCTTTTTCATAAATCGAGTAAGAGACTGGAATCTTCTGGAGGTTGACTATAGGATTCAGGAGTTAAATCTCTGAAGCACAGTGTTAAGTCTCAATCTCCTTGGAATTTACATCCTCTGTTACCTGGCACTTGACCAACATGTCAAAGAAGTTGTCGTCAGGCTCAGCGTTGGACATCAGGTGGTTGAGGACGGCACGGTTGCCATTTTGATGAAGTCTGAGGCCGGGCAGGTTTCCTCCTGATCCTTGTGATCCCTCTATCCGCCGACCTGACATGTCAGCTTTTGGAGGCCTCTCGGGGCTGCCATTTAGCGACAGCCTGCTGCCTTTGTCCTGTATGGAGCAGCGCTGGTCGTCCATACGGTTGCTTTGGAAACGACTCAAGAGGTCAAAGAAGCCCTCGTCTCCCAGCACGTCAGGAGTGACTCGCTAAATGATAAGGAAACAAAGATGTGTAAGAACTGAAGAAAGAATGATTCTGGTGTGTAGTGACAGTGTGTACCTTCTGTGGTCCCTGCTCTGATATCTGACTGACATCCAGGGTGTTACTGGTATCCTGGAGAACTTTACTGGAGCCCCCCGTCTTGAACTTCTTCCCCCGAAGACGATTGACAAAGAAGAGCTTGGAGCTGGTCTTGGCCAAGGATGGTTTGGACTGTTTGGTCGGAACACCAATATTCCAATTCTGACCCTTCAGCAAACAAAAAGGATTAGTCACATGGGCTGAATTTAAATCTAAGAGCACTGATTTAGCTTAGCTCTGCTTGGTTCAGATGGACTATTTATTTTTTATTAGGTCTGTGTAAACTGGTAGAAAAAGAGATTATAGTCTGCTGTAATCTAACTATTTCTTAGGACATTAAAGGCATCACTAGTAACATTTATGTAAACCCCTGTATCTAAAGTCTGAGAGATGAAGAGTGATGGGAATAAATTAGAAAAGAAATATTTTAAAATCACTACATTTATCTTGTCTGGAGTCAGTTTCATCAGTTCCAGGTTCTCCATGCTGTGCCTCCTGTTCATCCTTGGCCGGGCTCCTAAAAACACATTCAAATGTGAACATGGCTGCAAATACATTTGGCTGAAGCTGTTCAACAGGCGGTTGTTTTGTTTACCGTGCTGGTTGTAGTCTATGTCCTTGTTCTCTGTGAGGGTGGAGCTGTTCGTGCTGTAGCTCAGACCCAGGACCATCTGGAGGTCCGACACGTTCATACGGGCCGTCAGCTCTCCACTCCTGTCTCCAGTCTGGGACAGGAAACGCATGTTGTTTTACATCTTTCATTCCTGTTGGGTGTTTTTAAGTTTTCAAATTTAATTCACACTTTTCACCTCTTTGCAGATCTCAAGATGTTTCTCAGCAAAGTGCATGGCCTGGTCGTGGTTCCCCAGTGCCGTGTGAGCGTTCCCCAGACTCCAACATGCACGGCCTTCCCCGATCCTGCAACCAGACACAGTAACATTTTATAATGGGCAGAGCAGGAACAAAGCTAAGCTAGGCTTCACAGGCATTTATAAATGTTACACAGTGCAGGTGTTGTACCTGTCGTTGAGGTCCTGGGCTATGATGAGGTGTTTGAGATGATAGTCGATGGCTCTCTCATAGTCCTGCAGCAGTGTGTAGGTGTTTCCCAAACTGTAACAAGCCTGAGCCTCAACCGCTCGATCCTTCAGCTGCCGGGCCAGCTGCAGCGTCCTCCTGACAGACAAACAAAACACACACACACACACGTGTCAACAATGCTTTAACAGGATGAATATTCAGTTTTCTCTTAAGTATATCTGACTTCATTTATATGATAATTAAATTCAGGTCCATATTTAGAACAAATTTGCTGTGACAATGTCCATCACAGATCCCACTGTGAGCTGTGACTTACTTGTAATTCTCAGCCGCCACTTCGTAATCCCCCAAGAAAATATAAGCGTTCCCTAGGTTGCAGTAAGCCCTTCTCTCTGCAGAGCGGTCACCAAACTCCTTTGCTATGAGAAGGCGCTGAAACAGAATTATATTTTAGATTCCCAAGACGAAAGACGTTGTACTTCAAAGTTGCCTGTATTCATTTCAGGGTCTCGTCACACCTGCTCATGTGAAGCCACTGCTTTGCGAAAGTTTCCTAACAGGTAATGGGTGTTGCCGAGGTTCCCGTACGTCCGACCCTGTGCAGCTCTGTCTCTGAGATCCTGCACTATCGACAAATTTGCCCTGAAAGTCGACGCAGGAGCAGGTGAAGAACAGGAACAAGATTCAATATAAAAAAAAATACATTTTTGTATATTTACCTTATAGAATTACTAGACATTTAATTCCTTGTAGGGTCCCCACAACACATGATTTTAGCAATAAAATGTCCCCTCAAGAATAGCTTGCATGACTTACTCGTAGTACTCCGCGGCCTGCCTCAGTGCCGTCATGACCTCCTCTGGGAAATCTCCCGGCTCAGCTCCACTCCAGCAGATACTCTTCCCTTTAGCATGATACACGTTACCAAAGTTATACAGAGCCCGTGCCTGACCCACCTGAAAACATCCAGAGAGAAAAAAAAACAAGTCTTGAAGGCCACTGTTTTCAGTTCATTCCATACCACACCCTGGATCCTCTGCCGTCTCACCTTGTCGTTAGTGTCCCTGGCAATGTCCAAGTGTCTCTGACAGCAAACCATGGCCTCGTCAAACCGACCCAACACCTTCAACGTGTTGCCAAGGTTTCCACTGGCTTTGGCTTCACCCAGCAGGTCACCTATCGTTCTACACACAGGACACACATTTTCACAGGGAAAAATGTTGGTCAATAACTTCTTTGTTTCTTTCTTTCAAGACAAGCATGGATGGATGGATGGATGGATGGATGGATGGATGGATGGATTTTTATCACAAAAATAAATGTCACAAAAATTAGGACACACGTTTAACTCTAGGTCACAAACTCAAACAATTGAGTTGATAAGCAATCGGTCTGCACACTGTATAAAAAGGTTAAAAAAAAGTTTAAAATGTCTCAACATTATCTGGTATTTGTCTAATGTTTACCGTCAAGTAGATTAAATCAAAAGTCGCGTCTAACCTGGTGAGGGTGAGATCATGCCGATGGAATTCCAGGGCCTTGCTGTAGTCATGCAGGTGGAAGTAGGCATTTCCTAGCTGGCTGTAGATGGCGCTGAGCACCTGGAGATCCTCTGTGCCTACCTGGATAGCAGCTTCGAAGAAGGAGACCCCTGCTCTGTAGTCACCGGCCTTACAGAGCCGCTCGCCCTCCAGCGCTAACTCCAGGCAAGACACCTCCATCCTAGAGGGAAGAAGAGTGAGATCATCAGGGTTTTTTTAAGTGTAAAAGATTCTTTAAAAGGAAGAAGGACTATTGATGAACAGCTCAGAGGTGATGTGTTAAAGGCCACAGACCTTCTCTCACTGCCACCTTCATCCATCTGAGCAGCAGATTATTCTAAGCCAAGACTTTTAGCAAGGAAACTGCAGCCACTTCCTTCCACTAGGACAAACAATGGCTCAAACCTCTTTGGCTCAAAAGTCTCTTTGTTATTGTTGGTATCACATTCTTCTAACGTGCCTCTAAAAGTGAAGTACCTTCTTTTTTTAATATACATTTTGTGTAAAATGTATATTTAAACACAAAATTCTGACATAAATCAAGTACTATTTTTTTTAAATGTCAACCATTTAGTCTAAGAAAATGTAAGGATTGCTAAAAGGGCCTGAAACCTGAAGGCTAAGACAAGGGGGAACAGATAGTGTATCCAAACTTTTGTTTTTCAGGAAGCTCTGTTGTTGGAGATTAGCTTCAAACAGTCCTTGTCCAGATTGATGGTTTCAAGACTTCCTAATGTGCTCCACCCACTTTTCTCAGAATGCTCTGACGTGGAGTCTGTCATGTTCAATTGCTCAGACAAAAAAAAACATAAAAGATATTCCTCTAATGTCACCTCCCAGCAGACAACTAGGTCTCCTGGAGCCTCAGGTTTTCACCAAACCTAGTCTTAAATTAAAACCTAAGCAACATGTCATTGGACATGTGACGCAGACCTTTCTGCTGCTTTAAGTATCCCACGAAAACAGCTGGAACACAACGTCATTATTAAAAAAGGAGGATGATCATCATTTGTCAGAGGTTTTTTGGCATCACAAACTGGACAACTGTCTTAGAGAGAGAACTGTGGCACCACAAGGAGGTGTCATCAGCATTCTCTACGTTAATCTGATCAATGTATTGTGCAGCCTTGACAGATTAAGCTTAAGTAGCTTTATTTGTTACAGAGACAGGTAAGAGTCTAAAAATATAATAAACTTCATACGTGGATGAGAATAAAACGTACAACAGAAGCCTTTAGTAAAATGCACAAACACCCTGCATCCAAAACGATGGTCACATGTGATGAAAAACAGGGCTGACGGTAATGAATTTTTCAGGGCTCTTTAAATATTGAAACTGGGGCAAGTCCTATTGTGTGGGGCAGGTCACACCTGCTACCACAGCTCTTTGCCTGGGTCAATAACCGCACAATACACACCGCCAACAAAAAGTCACACTTGGTAATAGTCCCTTGACAGCGCATGAAATATCCTCTTTGACCAAGTTAAGTATCAAACACTAATTGAAGTAAGTGTTGAAGAGGCTAAAAAGCTCCTGCGACAGAGAGGAGAGTCCTACCTGTAGCGGACATGAAGAGACTGCTCCTCAGATCGTGCGCTAACCAATGAGCCACTGGTATCCATAGATGTGCATAACATGAGGGAGAATTCCTCAATGTGTTTTCCAAAAATGGTTGTGTTCAAAACATGTGCCGAAAGAAAAGGAAACTAATCTTTGGTAAAACTCTTCAGTAAAGAAATAAAAGAATATCCCCATAAAAAGTCACAAGAAGTGTGACTGTCCCTCTACGGAAGGTTGACAGGGAACGTGAGCTTCCGAGTGCTGATCATCAGTCCACACACAGGGCTGTGTTTCAGCGTCACAGCTCAACAATCCCTCTTCAGCGGCCCTCTGTGAAGAGAACACAAGATGCTGTATGTGAAGCCTCTTTCTGGACACTGGGTGCCATGGCAACACCAACCAAACAGCAGCATGGGGGGGGGGGGGGGGGCAGGCAGGAAGCTAGAGAGGTGCAGGGTGGTAAGGAACGGCTGCGGAGGTCACAGCAGGCAGGCTGTCAGTCTAAGACGCTGACTCAGATGATCCAGGCTTGGGTATGTGCTGTAAAGCTGCAACATGGTGGGAAAGTTATGTAGGCTTCAACAAGCAGGAAAACAGGGCAGAGGTCGAGGTCATAGAGGTCACTACAAGAGAGACAGCGGAGCAGAGCAGTCGTCACACTAAAGAAAAAAACACACTGTTTTTATCTGAGGTTTGAAGTGAAGTCAGACAGTGATAGGACAACTACGTGGTTTGAAACAGATTGCACCAAGTACAGACCACAGCCAAGCGTTACCTCATGTCTGTATGCGGTCACAGCTACGCCCATTTCTCCCCAATTCTAAACCATGAAACCTTCACCCACACACAAAATGGGAAATAGGTCATTTCAAATGATCCAATGCCCAATGTACTAGGGAGCTTTAAATGCAGTTTAAAAACTCTTTTCTGTGTCCTTAGTCATCACATGTCCAGGTAAAAAAAAAAGAACATGACCAATCAGAATATTTTATATTTTCATGTTTCAGCCTGTTAGTATTAGGTCACATGTAAACCACTGGTTCACAGAAATCCTACACATATTAGAGGTTCATATGTGTACAGTGTGGTAATGGCACACTTTTCCACCACATTTCCAAGAGAGCTGGCTGCTCACACAGCTGCAGTGAGCGTGAACCTGTATTTAACAGGTTATGATGAGCACACCAATAAGAGGTGTGTTCCTTTCCCAGTCATAAATAGGACATGATTTCATGTTGAACACTTGCAGTGGCATTTTGTTTCGCATTTACCACTGACCGATCCACTAAAATAGCTGTGACCTTAAAGTCTAAAATAGGAAACAGCACAAAGCCGTGCACCATGACCCAGCAAAAAATAGCACCAAAACAAAAGAAACAGACAACCAAATAAAGTACTGGAATACTGACCGGTAACTCTTCCACACAGGAACAGGAAATCTGGGAAGTCTGCAACATACAAAGGTGGTGAACATGAACAAGATGACTTAAAAAACAAACTGCTGCACAGAAACACTAGGAACAAACTAATTATGACTTGTATTAACCAGTAAACCCAAGTAACACATGAATTAAATCAAACTGCATTCAAAGCACCGATCACAGTCTCTACTGTATGTTTCGCATTGACACCAGACAATTACTTTTCAGTCGTTAGGATTTAAAATGTCATTAATTCAAAAGACTAGTGTGTTTAGGCAGGGAGTGGTGTGGGGTGTGGAGATCACAACACTGCAAACGAAGGTGTTCCTCAGTTTGGATCACCACAATTTAACTTGTGTATAAAAAATACTAAATAATGACTACGAAAGTTACAACCTACACTGACTACTACCAAATACTAGCAATTTCGTGGAGGTTAAAGGTTCACCTGTCAGTACAATGGTTCACGAAATAAACATAACCATGGAATACGTAACACATTATAAAAATACAATAATACAAATGTTATAATAACAACATCAGGCTATATACAGTATTGCAACACATTTGTTTACCAAACCTATTAAACATAAGCATACAAATTCTTAAAACAAAGATTATGCAGATTATATTGTAACGATTAGATCCATTCATCCTCGGTGATCGGCCGTAAATAACCCATCGACTTAAATCATGAATTCGGCTGATTTCAGTGTTAGGTGTAATACACATCAACAATGGCAACAGCACAACAGTATCCAGCAACACGTTAGCCATCTAGCATTTAGCCGCTGAACTTACGTTAGTGGATCCAGTTCGAACAATGGAGACGTGTTCTCTTTATTCCCGACTTTCTCAAAAGAAAAAGAAACATGGGGACGTACAAAACGTAAAAAAAGGAGTCTGTATTTTACAGAAAAAAAACGATTGATATCCAGTGAAGCACTACATTATCCCTAAAGTTTTAGATAACTTAACTTTTTTAGTAGTGGAAAAGATGTTAAACCGTGTGTCTGCCTTAGCCAATCGGTGTTTTCCAAAGACAACCAATCAGAGGACGACATTCAAAGAGTCGCTCCACCCCCATCTAACCGTCATTGGTCCGTTAAATTTAAATAGGAAAGACATGACGTACACTGGAGCTGTCAAAAACCTATGTTATGGAGGGGAGATATACCACAACTATACCATTTTAATTATTGTTCCAGATTGCTCACCTTTCTTCAACATAATTAATTACATATGAACAAATTTAAATGTAAATGATCAGATAGTTGATTTAAAATTCGTATCTAACGGGGGATTTGTGCCTGTTATATTTGTTTAAAATGCATCTTTTGCAGTTTAAGCAGATTTTGATATCCTTAGGAATATTTTATTCGTTAGACATTTGCTAGCCTTGACCTACAGTTAGGCTAACAGTGGAACAGCATTTACTTTTTAGGTTTTTACTAACACTGCCTCAGGAACAGTAGTTAAACATTAACTTGCAGTAACTGCCTATATTTATCAAATTGTCTAAACAGACCAGGAATAAGAATGAATTCCTGGATGATTTCAACTGATGCTACTCAATAAAATGAAGGTCTACTCTTTACAACTGTACCTATTTAAAGCACTTTGTGTCATGGTCCAAATATTATCATTACCTGCTCCAAGGCTGTGACTCCTGCTGGACGTTAGGTGCTCGACTACAGACGCTCAGCGTTCATTCTGTACATTATTGATGACACCAGAGAAACTGAAACCTGTCAGAGAAAACATGTGTCCTGGTCTGACGATTCTGCCCAGAGCTCGCTGACCATGGGATCAACCTGGACCCTGGAGGACACACAACTACGGTACGTTAAAGAAGCATACGCTTAAACAATAGAACAGAAATTTGTGTAAAATGTCTGACTGTAATGCAGAAGCTATAAACTCAATTTCTGCTAAAGTTGTCACATCTTCAAGAGCGTGAAATTAAAATTCCAGTCTGTACTTTGTTGATTGACTTGCACCTTTATTTATCAGGCATGACGGCAAACAGATTTTTTTCTTTTTTTATTATTAGCATATTTACATACTAGTCCATATGTCTTTTTTTAGCATATTTACATACTAGTCCATATGTGAAATAAACAAATTAGAAATTGATGCCTGACACTCCAAAAACACATGGTACCACACGTATTTATACGCAGCACAAGTCAGCTTATACACCATAGTAGCAGAATGTGTATAAAAAGACAACAAGTTTGTCTATCAAAAAATTCTAATTCTAATTAAATAAAAATCAATGATGATTGTAGAATTTCTAAACCAGTAACAGAAGAGCATAGGCTGCTCTACACCAATAAAAATCAATGATGATAACAGAAGAGCATAGGCTGCTCTACACGCTTTCAGTCACTCCATATGCTTTAATACTGGACATGTTGGTCTTTGATGTGTTTATATGATTTAATTAGTTTTTCAAATAGGGAGTTGAAATGTAAAATATATCAGGTGATCCACATCCACACTGTCTGACCCATAGGAATCACTCATCCGATGTCACATAAACCGATAGTCATATGTTAATTAACACCTAAGTATATTCTGATCCAGTGTTTTTGCTTCACAGTGTTAGTTGCTAAGTGATGAGCAGGTGTTCCATTCTTTGCTTGAACCCCCCCCCCCATGCAGGTGACAACAGCCTAAATCGTGTGCTGGCGGACAGAAGTGTCCATGGAGGGGGATCCTGAGAATTCAGATGAGGACTGTCAGGGCACCACTGTGCTGTGGGAGAAGTGCATCCAGCAGAGCATTATTGTGGACCTCAGTGAGGACGAAAGTCTCCACCTCAGTGATTTGGACGGTTCTATGGCTTTACATGTTTCCCAAACAGAGTCTGCTGCTTCAGAGACCAGCCTTCATCTCGGTGGTGAGTCCTAGAAAAACTACTCGCTACGATGCCCTTTCCACTGCACCACATCAGTGTTCGATGTTCAACACCAAAAAACCACCCAGATATTTTTGAAAAAAAGATTTGTTCATGATTTTTTTTCCCACTAATTCATAATATAAATTAAATGATCATCAAGGGAAATGGTCCCAGGGATTGGAGCTTCATACAGATACTCATATGGGATTTCCAAAGTAAAACAAAGAACATAGTGCCACTACATAATAAAACATTATGAAGTTAAAAAACCCACTACAATTTGTCTTTGACTGGCAGGAAGTGCTGAGTTGTCAGGTTTGGATGACAGCTCCTCCAGTGGGTCCAGTGATGTGACCAGTCTCAGCGACAGGCTGGTAGAGACCAGAACCAAGACCAGTGCAACCCACATGTCTCCTCAAAGACCAAACACAATGCAAGATGATCCATCTTTAAAAGTGGATGATGACGACTTGGCCCAAAATACCAGTGATGAAGAACAGGAGGATCTACCTTATGATGGTGATTTTGGAAGTCCATACTTTAACCAGACGTGTAGCCCTGAGGGCAACACTAGCCCTGACAGAAGAGAAAATGTGAATGGAAGTCCTGATGGTCCTGCTCTGCTGGAGTTATCCCTAAAATCTGAAGGCGATCTTGTTGATGGCAGTGCTGAAACAGCTTTGTCACAAGACCACTCTGAGATTAACGCTTCCAAACCTGATCATCTCACAGCATCAAACCTTCATCCTGAACCAGCAGACTTCAACCAGTTGTTAACACAACACTTTCCACAGTTAGAGATGATATTTCCAGGTAGAATGATCGATGCAGAGAGCCTGCCTGAAGTTTCTTTACTGGAAAGTATGGACGACACATTATTGAGCCTGGCTCTAACACGTAGCACAAAAAAGCAGAGGGAGAACCATGTGCTCAGTGGGTCTGAGAGCTGTTCTGGTAGAACAGAGGACCAAAGCCAAGCTGTATTGGATCATATAAGTTTACATGATGAAGATGAGACTAAGGTTGACATCACATCAGCTGCTGACAGTGTTGCATCCAGCACAGTATTAAAGCAAAGCAGTGCACAGAACAGCACAGTAGAACTAATAAAGCAGGACAAGTCTGAGGTCCATGATCAGATCCAGAGAATCCCACCACTCGTTCGCACCAGATCCCTCAGTGAGATGAAGTACGGTCAAGGCCAGGTCCATTATCCACTTCCTGATTTTTCAAAAGTGGCCCCCAAAGTGAAAATCCCCAAAGTCCCTACTGGACCAACCAAACCTGCACCTGCGACGCAGAATGTCAGCACCATGCACAGAACCCAGTCCTCTCCAGATATGTTGGATGTCGTTAGCAGAGTCCTGGAAGATTCAGTCCAGCTCCTGGAGAGGCCTTATGTCTTCGGAGATGAGGAGAGCCAGACTCCCGGAGCACTAGTGCACCATCTGCAGGTAAAAAACTTCAACACTCACACGCTGCGCCCGAAATGTTAGCTTTTCTTTCTTTTGAATAATTGTTTCTTTTTTATAACTTCTTAGGCTGAATATGACAAATTACTAACCAAATATGCAGAGGCAGAGAATCTTATTGATCAAATGCGACTGGGAACAAACGTAAGTCAAACTTCAGAAAGCATGGGAAGCTTTTCTACATGATGTTGTCATGGTTATATTTTATACATGATATAAACTTGTTAATAGACTCAGCCGTCCTCAGATGTGAAGCTCTTCTCAGACTGTGGTAGCCATGACGGCGAGGGAAACTCAGCTGAGGGAAGCCATCTTGGATCCTTGCCTCCTCATCTTCCAGCATCTGGTCTGACATTTGATATTATAACGTGCTGTTGCTTATGCTGCCCTAAAATGATGCACTGAAGTGTAACAAGTTTCCTTAGTGACAAACAGGCTCAGGTGACACTGCTCCAGTGCTGAAGACAGAAAGTGCTTTTGAAGTAATTAATCTAAGTGTAAAACAATAAGGATCAACTCAACAACCTGACCACAAAGAACGTTTCGATTTATATATCAAATGATCCAATTACAATTTTAACAGTAACTCAATTATAATCAATCTAGTCAATTTGTATTGGTGGATATAGAGAATTGTGCATTACCCTTGACACTATAGAGTGTGTTCAGACTCTGACTCTGGGTCAACTTTTTAAGGTGGACCCTTTCTTTTACTTTTAAGTAATATTTTACAACATAAGTTGGATTTATATTTGTTCTCACTATATTTTAATACATTTTGGCTGATTTTGCGTGTAACAACAATCACATTGCACATCCGGTGAAGTATCACAGATGCCACTTTCACACTGTCATATCCAGAAAACAAATTGGAAACCAAAGACATTCTACGTTCTCCCTGAATATATTTGACAAAAAAAAAATCTCTAAACGTTTTCAGAAGTCAACGGTCTTAATGGAATAACAGCACCTCGGTGTGAGACAACAAACGAAGCCCCCCTACGTCTCCCCCAACCCGAAGAAGGTCCCAGTGAAGGGGACAGAATGACGGCAGAGTTGAGAGACATCATGAAGCCATTCACGCAGAAAGTGAGTTTGAAAACAGGAACTGAATGTTAAAACGGAAATGAATAATGATAATGTAACACACTGTATGTACTGACCATCCACAAACAATAATTAACATTTGACAAAGATGATAGGAACACAGTAGACCAGTAAAGAATAATGAATCAACTTAATAAATACATTTTAGGTGGAAGAATTCAGAGTGGGTGTCAACAACAAGACGATCAGCACAGGAGAACAGCAGATGGTGAGAACACAGGGAGTGTTTCTGTTGATTGTCAGGGAATGACCTGAGCATAAAGTGTATTTCCAATTCAGATATTGAGGAGCATGATGGAGGCCCAGGACCAACTGGAGAGGAACTACATGAGTAAGAAGGAGGAGCACAGAGCACTGGAGATGCAGAATTACATGGGTCTAACTAGGAACACTGGCACCTTTGACCCAAACAGGTGACGGAGACATTTCTTGTATTGATTTCCGTCGGTGAAATCTGCCTGCATCAATAAACATGTACATGTCTGTTTGGACGTGTCTGTGTGCAGGCTGATGGAGGGCGACATCTTCAGAATTGGAATGCTCCTGGACAACGTCAAGGAGATGATTGACAGAAACATGTGTGAGCTGATGTCTCCACCGCTCTCGTCTTCCACACCAACACCCACTCAGGAGATAGAAGTTGTGAGGCTCTGTCCTTTCTCCACACAAACACCTTCCCCTCCACCATCCTTCCATCAGGTAAACACACTGGTGTGTGTGTGTGTATGTGTGTGTGTGGGGGGGGTGTCTCACCCTAACTAACCACAATTTGATTGTTCCAGGGTACGTGTGCAGGTTTTTCTGACTTAAATTGCGAGACGGAGACACAGGAGGTGAATGTAACGGCAGAGGATGTAGAGGAGGACAGTGAGTTGCATGGAGGAGGCGCAGTGGAACAAAGAAGAGAGAGTGCGAACCACACCACCCATTATAATGGCTGTCATTTAGGGTAAAGAGTGAACAGTGTCTATTTATTTTCAAATAAATGCAAATGTGAACGTAAAATGGAATGTGGTGGCAGAATTTGAATTGCTTTACCATTTATTTTAAAGGGACATCCCATCCATCAAATGAAACAATGATGATGAGTGGTCCTTTGTGTTTGTTTGTGCTCAAATAATACAACACGTTCCTAGCCCTCATGTGCCCAGATCCTGTTTCAGGTGCAGGATCAGGGCTGGTGTTAGGTTCCAGTTCTGCTAAAGTAAACAGTGTTTGGATCTGTGTGAGCAGCGACTCTTCTCTGACTGTTTCGCAGGAGCCCACGAGCCTCTCTGGAGAGACTGGACATAGAGATAACTAAGGATGAAGAAGACCACGAAGAGGAGAGTGGCTCTGCTTCCACAAAGGAGGGAGTTCACCGTGACACATCGGCATGTGTGAGCAGAACCAGCTTATCCTCAAGACAGAGCGACTGGACTTACGAAAGGTGAGGGTTGATTATGGTCAGTCTCTACGTTACCACTCTTCTTTCCATTTCCTCTCTGTAATGCTAAAACACTGTAACGAAGCCAAGGCTGGACCAGAACATCCCATAAGCATCACTATATGTCCCCAGTTTGAATGACCTGTGTCACTGCTTGTTTTCTGCAGCCACAGCCCTGTGGTTCCTGCAGCTGGACCACAGGGTGAATGTGATCTGGGTGACTGTGTGAGCCTGGCTGTGGAGGTCTCCTCTTATTCTGAAGTACCACAACTATCAGACACTCACAGCCACTCACAGCCTCCTCTGAACAACACATGTGCATCACAGGTCAGTAACAGTACAATAATGAGTCAGGTCAGATTGCATTTTTTGGGGTTGGATTCTTAAACAATTAACATTTAAGAATAAAAAAAAATGCCATTTGCTATTGGCCTGGGAAACTGGCTAAATGTAATATTAAAACAACCTGAAGCTGAATTAGGTGGATTTTACACAGAACACGGAGCCTGTGTCCTGCTAGAGCTGAGCTCTTAAACCACAACCTCCAGAGCTCACTGCATTATTGATATATCACTGCCCCAGTTAGGAAGCATAAATGATGATGGATTTCTATTTGGAAATAAGTCTTGATGAACTGTCAGTTTAAATTAAAAAACAACAACAACAACAACAACAAAACTTCAGCAGCAACTTTTATGTCAGTGTTGGATAAAAGCTTCTGCTAAATTTATAAATGTAATATAAGGGTGACATATTGTATATGCATGCTGCCCCTCCCATTTCAAGCTATGACATCTTAATGATTTAGTGGGCATTGTTGTCTACTACCAGGCAGCACAGGTACATCATCATCATCATCATCATCATCATCATCATCATCATCATCATCATCATCATCATCATCATCATCATTCTGAGTTTGTTTATTTGTGCAGATGATTGTGATCCCAGAGACAGACAGTGGCTTTGGAAGCTCTTATTTGAATCAGTCAGGTTCTGGAGTATCTCAACCAAATCTTACTGCAGAGAGGTATGTACTGCAACTATACAAACACTGAGTTGATCACATGACTACCAGAGAGATTGAACTATGTGTGTGTGTGTATCTAGTTCTGCTGCACCATCCCAAATTGATCTAAGCGACTCAGACAGAGAAAGCTCCAGCTCCAACCTGCAGACAGCTCTTCACTCAGCTCCTGTAGATACCCAGCAGTGGGTCAGCTCTCACACACTGGTCCAAACACAGTCCTGTGGTGCAGTGGAGCTGTGGGTGGAGAGCACTACCAAGGAAGCTTCCCTCCGGCTGCAAGGTGAGCACAACCTTGTCATATCATCATAACATAGTTCTTTATCTTCCTCAAACTTTGTCCTGGAATTCCATCTTCTCTGTTTCTGTCCTGGCCAGGTTCTGACCCTGCTCTGCCTGCTCAGATCCATCACCACGTTTCTGAACCTCTGCTCCACACGAACATGGAATCAGAGGAGAGAGGCAGCCAAGCCTGCTCCTGCTCTTGTAGTAACCGGTTGGCAATAAAGTTAACATTTAAAATCTATTTTTTAATACATTATTTACTCTCAACATTAATATCTGAACTTGTATTTGTGTTTGTCTAGTGAAGCCCTGCTTGCCCTAAAGTCAGAGGTGTTCAGGCTGAAGAAGGACCTGGAGGAAGGCTTGGTCCAGCTGCCTCAACTGGCCCAGAAAATGGACTATCTTACCGCCAAATATAGACAGGATCGTCAGGCCCGCAAGTCTAAAACCAGGTCCAGGACTCACAACAGACCGTCTCGTCAGAGGTCAGTAACAATTTATAAAGTTGTTGTCGAAGAAATAGGTGAACAATCTAGATAGGCACAAATCTCATCTGATACATGTTTAAAACAAGATCAATTCTGCTGCCAGTCCATCTAGAGTAGACGACTGGATTTCTTCAGACATGGACCTCAGCAGGAGCAAAGGTACTGCCCAACACTCATCACTTTTGTACTGTCTTTGTGTACAAATCTCTTTCCATTCTTCTTCTTATTATTATTATTACTATTATTTTTCCAGATACAAATAGTGATTATACAGCAGCCTCAGACGTCTTGTCGCAGTACTACAGCTCACCAGCAGGGAGCAGGAGAGGCAGCAGTGTGCACTTAGGACAGAGGACGCTGCAGAGCAGCAGAGGTCAAAGCCAGTTTTATTTTGGAGAGTGTTCTGAATTTTCTTCAAAGTTAACAATACCTTAAATCAAGTTGAACAGAAAAATATTTTTACTTCTTCGTGTGCAGAAGGAAAAAGCTCAGCAAAAAGTTCTGGACTGAGCTGCTCCAGTTTTAACGGAGGAAAAAGAGACATTTCTGAGCCACAATGTGAGTTACTTTCTGATCTGATTTTGATTTTTGATAATGTAGATGAATTCTGATGTTCTTAACAAACTGAAAATGAAATTTAAATGAAAATATACACACTGTGTAGTACTTCTTGTGTCACTGCAGCTTTTGTGGAGAGTTTTTACTCCAAGGAGAGTTGGTCTCCCTTCTCCTCTCCATCCCTCCAGAAGCCCCTCCTCCAGGTCAACTACTGCTCCTCCAGCAGTTTACCTGCCAGGTAAAGAACAACAAACAAGCAAACACCTGATCACAGCTACTCTAAGGTGACATTTTCATGGTCACAAGGTATCGATACAATAGTAATTGGTACACGAGGTATCAATAATTACTGTTATTATAAACATTTCACCATGCTGTTTCACAACACACGTCATTTTCAATTCCAGATTTAAAGTAAGGGAGCCTCAACTCGACTCACTGATCCATCACAGGAAAAGATCCACCCAGTCGGACACGGCACTGCTACCCAGCGACGTGTACTTCCAACGCACCCTGTCTCCTGAGACGGTGTT